AAAACCTTCTCACATTATGTTTAGAGTCAATAAGAGAAGAGGCATGGAGCAAAGTTCAATCCCACCCCCAAAAGTGTGACATTTCGGAGAGGGGTGTATCCACTCTCCATTTCTAGGTTCATAAAAGCACCAGTTCTCCACCTGTCTTACAAGCACAGCCCAGGAATTACAATAACATAACACCTGTGAAGTCTTCTGAATACTAAGAGCGCTATATACAGTCGTGCCCCGCTTTACGCTTGCCCCGCATTACGATGAAACCGCATTACGACATTTTTGTGATCGCTTTTGCGATCACAAAACGATGGTCTGAATAGGGTTTTTTCGCTTTACGATGATTGGTTCCCTGCTTCGGGAACCGATTCCTCGCAAAACGACGATTTTCCAACAGCTGATCGGCAGTTTCAAAATGGCCGCCAGGTAAATTAAATGCCTCCCCGCTGGTTTCTGGGATGGATTCTTCACAAGACAGCCACCGAAAATGGCTGCCCTATGGAGGATCTTCGCTAGATGGTGAGTTTCCAGCCCATAGGAACGCACTGAAGGGGTTTCAATGCGTTTCAATGGGCTTTTTATTTTCGCATTACGACGTTTTTGTTCTACAGCGATTTCGCTGGAACGAATTAATGTCGTAATGCGAGGCACCACTGTAAAAGCTAAGCATTATGCCGCCAAAACAGTTACCTGCATCACCAACAGCGTACACGAGAGCATATCGTGTTCAAGGAGGGCCCGCATGAAGACACTCTGCTACTTCCTGCCGGTGTGGCAGAGGCAGCAACCAAGGACACAAAAGTCCATCATGAAGGAACCGGCCCTCTCGTCCTAACCTGGCAAGAAAGAATCCGCCCCAAAACCTGCCGACTGGGACAATGATTCATAGAGAACCACGTTAAAGAAGCATAATCAGGAAGGCTGTCCATCCAGGGCAGGGCAAACCTTCTGCGCTCTCTCTCTCCGGAAGGCGAGTCACTTATCTTCCGTGGAATCAAAAGAGCAGTCGGGATACCTTCGTCTACACACCGGGCGCGCCCCTTTGAAAATCTGATCGTCCTTTTCCAACACCCTGGGACTTGCCATGGGGAAGTCCAGTCTTTTCCACTAATAAGGAAAAAGAAACTCAGCTAAAACCGATGTGTGGTCCCAAATTTTGTTTTGCAGTAGGGATCACTAAATTGCAGTCTGAGGATGCACCCAGGGACCCAAATGCAGCCCTTTCAACACTATGTTTATCTTTTCTCGGCTTTTCTAGGCCGTGCGCTCTTTGGGCATGGATTTTGGCATTAGGAGAGGGAAGTAAAACTTTCTTTTAAAATGTCAGGATTGCAAGATTGGAGGGGGGGTAGAAAGGAAAGATGAGAGAGAGATAAAGAGAACGACACCACGCAGGAACGGGCTTTGAATTCAGAACAAAACCTAAGCCTGACCATTTCAAAGGCAAGCCAGAAGCTTGTGGTTGTATTAATACAGTGTGAAGCGGTGGTGCTTGTTCCCGCTGGAAGGGAACATCAGCTCTTTGGAGGACTTTGTGCTCGGTCTGGAGGTTGTACAGGATGGGTAATCCTTTTCACCAAGAGGTCTGCCCTCCTCTAGCCCCGAGAAGGAATCCTTATCTCAAAAATGCAGGGCTGGATTAACAACCATGCGAAACAATCGGTACCAACCGACGCCAAATTGTGGCTGACGAGCAACCGTACTTGGCTAGTATGAGCAGTCAAGAAAGCTTGCCCATCCTAAATAGAGGCTTAGTGCTACATTGCAAGCTATGATGATGATGATGATGATGATAAATTTGAAAATAGTGTTTTCCACCCCCACCCAAATTTTCTCTTGCAATTTTTATTCACAGCTGAGAAAGTCTTCTAGTGCTCTCTAGAGAGGGTGTGGGGCAAAACTGGCCATATTTTAAGGAGCCACTCTTCCCAGCTGCCTCCCCCCTCCCAGAAATGTTTTTAAAAAATTTAAAAATATATAGTTTTGGCCACTAGAGGGCAAAATGAGGGCTTCTTCAGTGGTGAATAAAAACTACAAAGAAAAAAAAATAGCGGTGGGATGATGTGCGGCCTTCCAAGTTACAAAAACTGACATATGGGGGGCGCTGGACACAACCCACAGAGAGGTCTTCCTCCTAACGACTTTCCAGGGGTGCAATTCTCCAATATGTTGGCAAAGAACGAGGAAGGCACCAGGACCAGAAACAAGGATTTGGGGTGGGATGGGGGAAATCGCAGGACGCCCATTAAAGGCAAACTCATTCCTGTGGCCGGGATCTTTACACAGCCCAAAAAAATCCATTCCACATAAACCAAGGCGGTATCAACAAGTTCGAGGAACCCTTTTTAAAAATCCTAAAGCAAGCAGGTCGAGGGGAGACAAAAGGAGAGGCCCTATTATTTCAAGAGACCCCCCCCAACTTTAATGCCTCCACCCCAAGATATTTTAACACAAAAGTCAGTGGAACCTATGCCTGCTCTGTGCAGACGGGACAGTCGCTGAACATGGAGTTTGCTGTCGCCAGGATCCTGCTCCATGTTTGCTTGCAGAATTCCAGGCGGCCTGGGGATTTTGACCAGAGGGCGAGTCACGCATGGCCCTGTGCATGGCTGGCATCTCATCGGCTCAGAGGTAAAGGCTGAAGCTGGAGGTCCATCTTCATAAAGGCTGAACAGGATCCTCACATTTAGTGCAACGGTTTTCCCAGGCTTGGGTCCCTAGAGATGCTCGGACTGCCGCTCCCAGAAGCCCTTGCCAGCACAGCTGAAGGCTTCTGGGGGCTGCAGTTCAAGGATCTCCGGGGGAACCACGGTTTTCTCGGATTTTCCCATCTTTGAGATCGAGGAAACCACCACGAGCAAAAGTTTACCAGCAGAGAAAATGGTTGTGCATTCCACCACCCCCACCCCATATTCCATCAGGCATTGTTACACGGAGAGTGTTCCCAAACCCCTGCTCCTCTCCCCCCCCCCCAATATTCTATCAGGCATTGTTACACGGAGAGTACTCCCAAACCCCTGCTCCCCTTTGGCCCTACCTTTGCCGGGGCACCGGAATATGGGCTGAATGGTGCAGCGGGGTCTGGTCCAGGAGCCGCAGGGCTGACGCCTCTTCCTCCGGCTGCTTCACCACCAAGGGGTCTGACAGGTGCCTCGGGCGGCTTTTGGCTGAGCCGGCGTCGCCCAGAAAGACTTCGGCATCACAGTGAGTAGGGCTCTGAAAGGAGACAGGAAGGAGTTGATCGCAGAGGTCAGAGAAGCAAGTCAGCAGGAACTGTCGGCCATAACCCCGGGGAGGAGCCCCCGGCTTTCCAGATATTTTGAACCTCAGAGCCCCTCCCAATGTGGTCTATAGCCGGGGATGATGGGACCTGTTGTCCCAAAGCATCCGGAGAGACAAAGGTTCCCTTAAGGAAACAGTCACTTCCTTTGAGCCAGCCTCCCCAGAAGGGGTGCTTGACTCCAACACCCATCATTCCAACAGCCCTACTGCTGGCTGGGGATGATGGGACTTTTAGGAAAACACACCAGGAGGGAAACGGCTTGGGGAAGGTTTTCAGTCTAGCAGCATTGGGTTAGAATTCTGCACCGGGATACAAGAGACTTGATTTCCAATCCCCACTCATTCATGGATAAACCCAGGCCAGTTGCACTGTCGAGAGTCTGGCCTACCTTGCAGGGCTGGAAGAAGGATGAAGTGGAAAAGGCCAGAGCTACCTATGAAGCCTCCAGCTTTCTGGAGGAAAGACAAATAAACAACTCAGGAGCTCTAGATTTCCTATGCTTGCCATGATCTCTGCCCGGCATGGCACAAAAGGTTTTCTTTGGATGCCACCCTTCCAGCTTGAGCTGGTTGTTAAGAAAGGAAAACGTCTCCCAGGAGGGACGGGAGCAGACAGGAAGGGCTCGGCTCAGCTCTCAAGGCTCAGGAGCCCCTTCGTTATCTTAGATAAACACTGCAGGTGCAATTAAAAACTGCTCAGGAAAAAAAAAACTCTGCTGCCTCCAACTTCCATCCAGACCGTCCCACGCCAGCAGAAATCTCTCCGATAAGCAAGTTCTAACATGGAGGCTGAATCTCCAGCTGTTGCGATAGAGCAGAAATCTGGGGCACGGCAGGTTCCAGCAAAAGCGACACGCAAAAGGCACACCACTGCCAGCAAAAGTCCCGGGGCAACAACCTCCAAAGCCTCCCTCGTTTTATTTGCCCTCGGCAAACCAGACTCCCATCAGCCGTCGACAAAGTTTGAAGCCAAAGGGAACTGGTTAGTCCCGCTAAAGTGCCAGCAGACTCAGCTGGCTTTTCAATAACCTGCTAACCCAGCTCAATATTTTGGCAATTCTCTTTGGGGGGGGGGTTGTCTCTGGCCGGGAGTTCAATTCCCCACTGTGCCTCCTCCGGAGGGTTGGGAGTTCAATTCCCCACTGCGTCTTCTCGACAAGGGGCTGGACTCCATGCTCCATAAGGTCCCTTCCCGCACCTTTCCATAAGACGCACTAATTTTTTAGGAGAAGAAAACAGGAAAATATAATCTGTTTTCTTCGCTCCATAAGACGCACAGACTTTCCACCCCTCTGTTTTGTGGGAAAAAAGTGTGTCTTATAGTGCAAAAAATACGGTACCTTTTAAGCTCCCAAATGTTTAAAATGCTTGATTCTTTTGCACCGGCTGCTAGGGAGGTGAGCCACGATGCATGAAGCCAAGATAAATCCACCTACTGTTTCCAGGCCTGGCCTCTCTCTGCCGGTCTCAGAAGAACTTTTGGTCCCGAAGCAGACAACAGTGCCATCTCCCGGGGATGCCCGATTACACTTCCCTTGGCAGGCCCCACATATCAGGGAAATGGGGTGGGGGGTGGCAAACCAGCCATGTGAGCAGAGGACTCAGCTCTCTCTCTCTCTCCAGTGTTTTCAAAATAACCTCTGGCTCACATGTCTATTTAAAACACACACACACACACACACAATGACAAAACAAATCCACTTCCTCTTTTCTTTTAACCAAAGAGGGGGGAAAGGGGAAACTTTTCTTTGGAACAGAATCCATGATGCTCCTTTTTCCTCTTTATTGAAAGAACGAGAAGAGATTAAAATCAAGATACCAACTGACCTAGAGCAGACCTGTCCGAGACCATCCTCAGGATGAGACCCTCAGGGTGTGCACAACACCAAGCGTTCTAAATTCAAAAACATTTTTTTTTTTGCCTTCCAGCCAACGCAGGGAGTCCTGGAAAGAGGTTTACCACAGATCCCAAAAGCCTTCCGTGACTCCAACTGCAGCATAAGGCAGAAATTCAACAGGCGGAGTGCTTTTTCCCTAGCAACATTTTCATTGATTAGTGACCCTGTTTTCACAAGAGCCCGCAAACGGATGGGAAGAACGACACGGCAAATATTTCAGCCTGCCATTACGCACCACAGACGGTACCTTTCCTGGTATCCAAATTGGTCAAGAAGCCAACCACCCGTTCCCTGTTTTTTTGGAAAAGAGCTGATCTACACAATCTCTTCAAGATCCCTGGCTCCCGTGTCCAGGATCATCACCCCTCCATTCCTCACTCATTGCCTGCAATTTCTGTGCTATTACAGTATCTCACTCTGCACGCACCAGAGGCTGCTTATAAGGGATACCATCATGTTGAAAACCTCTGTGATAACTCAAAATGAGCTTCTGCCTGTTGACAAGGAGTCCGGCTGGCTGGTATGACCTCAGTGTTGCTGCCCCAGCGGACAAACTGCCTTCCTTGAGGACTTGCTTTTAAAGGACTGGCTGAATAAGCATCTCAAAAGTCTCCAGGGAATCCAACCAATCCAGGAGGTAGAATTTCACCAGAGTCCACTCAACACTAATTCCAAAGTTCAGAGCAAGTGAAGCAAGAGTTATTATCCTGAAGACCTCTGAGTGTATGTGTTTTTCTTTTAAAAAGTAAAATAACAATAAACTAGAACATGCCAAGTTTCTAGCCCTTATGGCAGGGATCCAGGGACCAATCTCCCAATGCCCCAAACCCACCAGGGTTTACACCACCTGCAAAACAAAATGAAATGGGAATGAAAGATAAGCCTGCTTTTTATGTATCTCTGGCTGCAGGGAGGGGGGGGTCTTGTTTCAAAGTAAAATTGGCATTTCTACCTATTTTTCTGCTGGGTTTTTTTTGGGGGGGGAATCTGGGGCAGGCTTGGTAGGTGCAGGAAGGACATGGGGGGGCATTTAAAAGAAAAATGTGGTGGAGCCCCCACCCCACCCCTTTCAACTGGAGAGCTCTAGAAACAAAGCACAAGTCAGGTGGAACACTGACCAACCACCCAAATAAGCAATATGAATCTAGTACTGTACAAACGGACAACTTTCCCCTGAATTGCTTCCCCCCCCACCTGACACACACACACGTAACTGAAAAGCCCTTTCAAACACAAATACAGTATCCATCAAGACAGAAACGGATCGACCCTTCCAAAAGTGACAGGGATCCCATGGAATCTGCCAACAAATTGGAAATGGAGAGAAGGCAGGAGATTCGAACTCAGACCCATACACTTCTTCATTTTTGTGGATACTGCCAGAAAGACGAACAAGCGGGTCCTAGATCAAATCGAGCCTGAACTCTCTCTGGAGGCAAAAAGGATGAAACTGAAGCTGTCCTCCATTGGGCACCTCCTAAGGCAGGATCCCCTGGAAGAGGCGATGATGCTGGGGAAGGTGGAAGGCAGCAGGAGAAGAGGAAGACAAAATACAAGACGGACTGACTCCCTACAGGAAGCCACAGGCTTGAGTCTGCAGGAGATTGAGCAGGGTTGCTGAGAAGAGTCGATTCTGGAGACGGCTCATTCACAGCGTCAGAAAGAGGATCCTGTACAGCCAAAGCTTTGATAGTTCAGGCAGTCGGCTGAGTGCAACTGACCACTCTCTACCCCTTGGCACCAGAAGGGCCCTATCCTGCAAAGCAGTCCTCATGTCGGGGGGGGACGGGACTGAGAAGAACCCCACCATCACCGGCCAGCTCCAATGGCCCAGGGTCCAGGTTCCTGGGGAATTCCGAGAAATTCTGGCCCAAGGGTATCCATGTCAACTGGGGATTCTGGAAACTGTAGTCCTCCAGAAAGCTAGGTCTCCTTTCTTGGAAAGTTTAGGAAAGCTGGCTGGATCGTTCAGTGAGTTTGATCTCTAGCTGCAGAGCCAGAGGTTTGGAGTTCGATTCCTCGCTGGGCCTCCTTGGGAGGGGGGGGGAGAGCCAACCTGGGTGGCCTTGGGCCAGCGGCACAGTCCCAGGGCGCCTCCTGGAGAAAGGGAAGGGTAAAGCACTGCTGAGTGTTCTCCACCTGGAAAACCGTGAAAAGGTCACCATAGAGCCGAATTGGCATTATCTTCAATGTTAGGGAAAGAGGCGAAGCAGAATTAACGCTCGGTCTCTCGCCCAATATACGGCCAGCAAAAGGAAGCGGTAAGGCTGCTGGCTAGAAGGAAACGCATCGCCACCCGCCAAACCCAGCCATTCCACAGCTAATCAACAGAACTGATCAATAACTGAAGCCTCAGCCTTAGGCGTCAAAGCCCTAAGTCTTAATCAGCCGGCATCAGAAAAGGGCCGGAACCCTCCACTTTCTCTTCAAACCTGTGTCTTTTCTCAGTGTGGCCCAGTTTATCTGCTGGATGAAAACCATTCCAGGGAGGCTAACCTGAGACGCTTATACACACCCTGTGGGTGGAATTGAAGGGAAACAGCAACCTATGCAAGACTTGGGAGGCCAAGACATCCAGAGGGTCAAGGAGCGAAATGTTCCATTTTTGGACTACAGATCCCAGACCTCCCCCCCCCCCCCCCAGCCAGCCAGCATGGCACGGTGGCTGGGGGTGGGTGGTTTTCTGGGAACCACAACCCCCTGAACACACAAGAGGGTTTTTTTTCCCCTCCATCTTGTTGAATTAACACATCGAGTGGCCTTGCTGGTTGGGGGGGTTTTCTGGGAACCACAACCCCCTGAACACACAAGAGGGTTTTTTCCCCGCAATCTTGTTGAATTAATACATCGAGTGGCCTTGCTGGCTGGGGGATTCTGGGAACTGTAGTGCAAGAGAACTGTCTTGTGCCTTGCAGCAGCAAATGGCCTGGAGACTAAAGGCTGTGCTCGCAAGGGGCTTGCTTCTAAAGAGCGATCCGGGGCGGACAGGCGAGGATTTGAACCCAGGTCCTCCCTCGCAAACCGCTCCACCCACTACCCCCCCCCCGCCCCGGGGCCGAAGTGAGGGAGCCTTTTCCCCATGAATAGCGGGGGAAGAAGGGGAAGGCCCACGCGAGGGGAACGCGCCCCTCCAAGCCTTCTGCCCGGAGCCCGACTTCCTCCGCCCGCCCGCACGCCCTCGGGCACGTGTGAAACCGGAGCCGCGCGTTCCAGCGTCCCCGGCGCGCCTCCTCCGCCCGCCCTCGGCTTCCTTCTACCCCGATCCCGCCTCCGGGGCTGCCCCGCCGGCCGGCCGCCCAGCCTCCCTTCCTCCCTCC